ATTATCTTCATTTTATAGAAAATAGAGATTAAGGAAGTAAAATGGCACCTCCAGGTCACACTGACTAGTGCCGGAACCAGGTTTTAAGGTCTTTGATTTCAGAATTTTCGCTAAAACATTTTAATATTAGGTTATTGGATATCCCTGGACCTCATTTTCCTCATCTGTACTATGGAAAGGTCATTCTTGGGAGAATTGAGTGCATAACCAATGAGAAGGTACTGCTACAGTGTCTGATGTATAATAATTACAGCAACGGTAGTAACTGATTTGTTACCTGTTTTAGAATGTCTCTATAAGTTGGAACATTAATTTGAAACTGACTTTGGGGAGGAATGAAGAGAAGACTACTGCAGCATTTCTATCATTATGAAACTTCATAGTAGAAAGAAAGAACGTTGCTCTTCTGTGGCTCTGAATTTTGTATAACTCTGTGTAGACCTTTTCAACACTCAATTCAGGTTAATATTATTTTGTTTATTTTACTCTTAATTCTGTTTGCACTGGCATAAGCTGTACTTTCTGATATTAAATGAGGATTTAATTAGACACATACATGTTCCTGTGGGACAGGGGTTACTGCTGCATTGCAATTATCTTTTCTGATGTTGTTCCCCCATGGACTATAGATTTGCAAGGGCATTAGTCAAGTCTTGGTCATCTATTTATCTCCAGAGTCCTGTAAGTGCTTGGCTCATGGTAGGTGCTTAATGAGTGAGCATAACACCAAGGAAGAAATCACTGAATTAATGAAAGGCAAAACAATCTTAACACGGACATCACAATTTGGGATTGCTTTTGAAATCTGAGTTCCTGGTGATTATGACATCACTGTTACTAGATTCTCTAAAGGCTCTAGTAGACATTTATTATACCCACTAAAATTAGATGCTGCATCTACTAGGTAAAAATCAGTGACTCAGGTGGTTGATATCATGACATTGCAACAGTAAAAATAACCTCGCACCACCCTCCTCCCTTCAAGCACTGATGGGACACTGTAGATCAGTCTATTTCATTTGATTAGGGAGCTCTTTTTCAAAGAGAGACTGAGAGGCTCAGAATGTCTGCGCCTCCCCCCCTTCATGGGATACATCGTGAGTGCTTCAGAATGCAGACTCCAGTGAGCACTCTGATGGAATGGCCCTGCTGAGACAGGAGATAATAACATTCATTGTTGAAGTTTTAGCCATCCCTGAGGTGGACTCTCTCAGTATGAACTCACACGATAACAGGGTTTAGAGAATTTCCGGTTCTTAGAGCACCTCCCTGTTTAGGACTCTCTTTCACTTCTCCTGCAATCAGGAGGTCTCTGATCTGAAACACACTTAGACTGTCCACTGTGAAAATATGAAAAGATGAAAAGTTATGCTAGATTCAGATGGAAAGAAAAAATAAATTCACATAAAAGGAAAACAACATAATATTTCAGGAAGCTAGTGTGCTATGGATGCATATAATGTTCTTAGTCTTTTCCAAATGTGGGGGTGGAGGGAAAAGGTGGGGGTGGAGGGAAAAGGGGGGAGTGACGGACTATCTCTAAGGCCCTGTCATTGTTTCAGGGAAGATAATAGTGTTCAGCTCTAGGGCTACATGTACTGTAAAACTCTTTCCCTGCTGGTTACTTGGCTCTGGAAGAAGAGTTCAGGCATGAATTCACCAGGTCCTGTCCTGTTCATAGCTTCAACATAGAAAACATAGGCAAATAAGGTGCAGGGACACACTCCTCTGGTTTTCTGTGGTGGTTTGAGCTTCCCTCAGCACCCCCCTGCCAGGGCTGGTTGGTTGGTTATGGCCAGAGATCCAGCCCAGATCTTTGCAGAGTGAATGTGCTTGACTGTGACCCTGGGAAGCAATTGGGGGAAGGAGTGGGAGCAGACAAGAAAAAGGACCTCATCAGTGGATGTTAAAAGTATCTGTAAAAGTTGATTAGGTTTTCTTTCCCAGCCCTTCCATTCAATTCCAGAGGGAGAAAACTGGGATTAACTATTCTAACCTCTTATTTAGAAACAGTTTACATTGCAGTTGTCTCCTCTCTGATATCTTTTCTCTTAATATTCATTTTAAACTTATTTCTCCTGGGGTGCCCGGGTGGCTCAGTTGGTTAAGCATCTGACTCCTGATTTCTGCTCAGGTCATGATCTCACAGTTTTGTGATGGAGCCCCGTGTTGGGCTCTGGGCTGAGCATGGAGCCTGTTGAAGATTCTCTCCCTCTGCTCCTCCCCTCCTTGCATGTGCATGTGCTCTCTCTCTTTCTCTCAAAGAATAAAAAATAAAAAGGGTTCCTGGGTGGCTCAGTGCATTAAGCATCCAACTCTTAATTTTGGCTCAGGTCATGATATCTTGGTTCATGAACTTGAGCCCTGTATTGGGCTCCGTGCTGACAGTGTGGAACCTACTTAGGATTTTCTTTCTCTCCCTCTCTCTGTCCCTTGCCCCCCACCCTCTCTCTCAAAATAAATAAATGTAAAAAATAAATAAAAGTAAATTAAAAAGATAAACTTATTTCTCCTGGATAAATGTCATTGTGTGTGTATGTGTGTATTTATGTGAACAAATATGAAGTTGGAAAAAAATACTCAATGGTCTTAGACATTTTGGCCTCTCCGTTTATGTGTTGCTAGGCCTTTTCTCTTCCCTAAAGGAAATCTTTTCTAGAACACTGAAGGGCTCCCTCTCCCTCCCATTCACTTTCACTTTCTTCCATCAGTTTTTATTCAATGCTAAAGAAATAGTAAGGAAGAAAAAGTAGGAAGGGAAAACCATTTATTCTCAATGAATTATGCTTATCCGTGGGGCTGAGGTTGGTCATTCCAACAGAACTATCCTTACTGTTGCATGCATTAGTCTCCTATGCCTCACCAGGATGTAATAAGCCCTTGTCATTACCTTGGCTATATCCAAACAAGTGAGGAAACAAAGGTAACTATTATCTTGCTATTATAGAGAAACTCGGACTATTCTCAGTGTATATATGTTGAATTGCTATCTCTGTAGATCTGGACCTGATCCAGGAAGGCTTGGTCCAGTTGATCTGGAGTCCCCTTACCCTCTGTGTCCCATTGTCCGCTGTCTCCTTCTTACCATTCTCAATCAAGACAGTCTTAAGCAAATCTAACCACTGGGCTGATCAGATGTGAGAGTTCTAAGCATTGACCAAACACTCCCAAGAACAATGCATGGCAGAATTGAGGCCTGATGTTTGCTGGGAATAGCTGCATATCACATCCTAGACAAATGGATTATTCCAAAATATCAGTTTATGGGCTGGCTAAATTGAAACGACCTAGGAAACTTGTAACACTGCAGATTCTGTCTTAGTATGTTTGGTAGGGAGCCACATTTGGGAAGTCCCGTCCTAGACAATTGCTTCAAATCAGAAGTCACTCTGATTCTACATTCTGTAGCAATGTAACACATTCGATACAGTCATTTTCACCTTGTCCAGCTAACTCCAGTGCTGTTTGATTGATTTTCAAGGACAGGAATTATGGCACTTTGTCATATCTGAATGGAAGGAAACCAGTAGGCCCGATAGCAGTCTGTTGAGTTACTCCCACAGAATGATCTATTGAGGGTTATCTTTCAAACACACTGAGATCCAAACCTGGCTCTATAAAGGCTTCATGGGTATAAGGGCATCAAATACACTAATGTGCACCATATATGCCTATACAGATATACATGCTCTCATTGCTTTGTCTGGGAGCCAGGGACAAAGTGGGCCAGCCTCTCATCCAGGGCTGCTTTAAATGATTGGTCAGACTATGCTGCACAGTTTGGCATACCATTTTCACAGACTGCAACACGAATTACACCCCCAGAAGTTGTGCAATGCGGTCATCCTTGGAGAAAGTTAGACATCATTTTGAAAACCGGAGGGAGCCAACTACTGAGGAAGCAAATACAATGCTTGGGTGAAAGTTCAACAGGATTCAACAGGATTATCTTCTTGCTGTGCAGCTGGATCTCAGGCTCTGCTCTCAGCACGTGCACACACATGTACACACTGCACTTTCTGCACTTTCCCTTTACTTTAGCCCAGGCTGATTTGTAAGAGCTTCCCTTCCACAGTTTTGTACCACAGGTGGATGGGGAAATGGCACAACAAATTAGACGTGGAGAGTTAGTTCACGGTGATTGATTCCCCAGCTCAAGGCTGCTCCAGCATTCTGTACTTGTTTAATGCCAATCTTGACAGTATTTCTCTCCGGAGTCCTTTTCTTAAAACCCAGTCCCATGCAATAAAGCACGTTCATTTCATGCAACACAGCGTAGTTGATGCTTATAGTTCTAAACAACCCAGATTACTGGGCACTGCTCAGTTGGGGGTACCTGGTATGAGGGAACATGCACAGCGCAGCAACAGGGGGTGTTTGCCACTGAACACAGAGAAATAAAGGAGCTGCAAAGCTATGGTAGCCAGAGGAGGACTAGCTTTCCTGATTTCAGTTCATGAAAAGCCTCTTGACTCTACACCTTGCTAGTTTGGCCTTGGCATTTGCCCTTGGCTGTCAGATGATGTTCCACTGAAAATAAGTCAGATTAATTCCCTGGTTTGTCTGGGATCAGGGCTGGAATCTTCCCTCATTGAAGCCCTTCCCTCAGAACCAGTCCTAGGCTTTTGCATTTGTTTTGACAAACGATCGGATAGTCCTGAAACATGAATTTCCTCCAATATCTTCCACTTTGCAAACTCCAGAAGCATTTGACCAAGAAGTTGAAATCCATGGGAGAGCTGTGAGCTAAGGCTTCAGACATGCAAAGCACACAACCCTGGGAGACAGCAGCATCCGGGACAGGAGGCTCCCATCACTTCACACGAGGATGGCATGGGTTTTGCAAATCAAACACACACACAGAAAACCAATGGTGGCCCAGGCTGGACACACTGCATGGGGTGCACGGTGGAGTGAGGACCTAGACCAGGGAGCCACCTGTTCCTGTAGCTTGCGTACATGTAGTTCACACCGCCTTGGGCCACTCACGGTTTGCTTACCTGCTCATGGTTGCTCTCCCACCATTGCCCACACTCCCTTTGGGGGTGAAACACTCTATTTCCGACTTGTGCTGGGCCAGTCTCCTGTCTTTGTACCTGGTAAGCATGAACAAGGACAGGAGCAAACAGAAAGATATGATTGTGTGCTTCACTGGCCAGGCTGAGGGACAGCTGTGGCTGCAGAGGGTTGTCCTGTGTTAAAACAGGCGTCTGCTTTTCACGGCAGTGGCTGACCTGTAATACTTATTGGATGCTTGTGATGGTATATGCATCACATCAGGGTTACTTCTTGTTAAACCACACACGATCTACCCTTCCAGATTGCCTATTAATTTGTGATTTCATCACATTCAATAGTCAAAGGCAAAAGGAGTGCAATTCCTAGCCTCTGAGAAAAAGATTCATATCAATAAATTAGAATTTATTTAGTGTTTACTATGCACCAGACATGGGGCTAGGATTTTCGCTGAATTTAATCTTGGCAACAACCCTATGGCAGAGGCTCTGTTATTATTATATCTACTCCACTGAAGGAAAGAAACCTAAGATTTTAAGGATTAAGTAGAGTGATCAAGGATTTTGAACATAGGAAGTCCAAGTTTAGAACCCACACTTTTAGTCATTGTAAAGTAATGTTGCCTTCCATTATGATTTTGTTTTTAATCATTCTGGGGTGCCTGGGTGGCTCAGTCGGTTGGATGTCTTGATTTCAGTTCAGGTCATGATCCCAGTGTTGTGGGATTGAGTCCTGTGTTGGGCTCAGCGCTGACAGAGCCTGCTTGGGATTCTCTCTCCTCTTCTCTCTCTGCCCCTCCCCCACTTATGCCAGAGCACATACTCCCGCCCTGTCAAAATAAATAAACATTAAAAAAATAAATAAAATAAATTGCTGTTATCATTAACAAAGCTTCATTGAGTGGTATTATGTTTGAGCATTATAGGAGAGACTGGTGATGCCAAGAGAAGAGATATTTCTTGGATGTAAGAGGTTTATATAACCATTAAGCTGAAGCTGAACAGTCAGTACCGGGCTGCCTACATTGTGGAAGACAGCTCAAACCCCTTTTGTATCAGAAGTGGCATATCACCACATCTGGAAGTTACTAGATGTTTTGTCTAAAATGAGTTATAAGATTCCCAGTGTTACTCTGCTACATGGTGAATCAAGAAGAACCTTCATATTTGAATGACCGTTTTCAAAGCCAACATGCTCTCACAGAAGTCATCTTTTTTTATACATCGGTTTAAGCCTGTGGCTAATTAAAGAGGGTACTGTTGTGTTCACTGCCACAGGAGGACACTGCGACTTACTTAACTGACTTGACCAAAGTCACAAGCCTCATTGGTAGAGAATGACTGCTGGTAGACCTTGCAGCAGCCCAAGACTCTTAAGGTTTATTGCCTTTTTTCTCTCAAACTGGAGCCTAATATGGTATCACTTCATCCAAGTCCCTGGTATTCAACAGGCCGTGATAAAATGACCTAGTATCAGAAGACTTGCTTACCCTTGGTAATGTCATTTTTGCCACAAGTTTCTTTTCTTGCTGCCTCAAAATTAATTAAGAAGTGCAACAAAAGCAAAATCATTATTAGTCCTGGATAGAGGCCTCCCTCTGAATTTTCTTTTCTTCTAAGATGTTAAAAGTATTTAGTATTTGAATAAAAATGGCCTATTAAATCAAGCCAAATGGATAGAATGGATTACTTTATTCAACAGACATTAGTTGAGCATCCATTTAATTCTAGGCAATGAACTTTGGTCTGGAAACATAGAGATAACTAATCCACAGGTCCTGCCTCACAGAGCTCACAGTGCAGTGGGAGAAGGAAGGGAAGAAGGCAGTATGTTGTTTATCAGTTTCAGCCAATGATCATGAGAGAGGGTCTTCTGGAGATTTTTTAAGAACAGTTTTTTTGTTTTTGTTTGTGTTCTTATTTTTACTCTTGGCAAGAAAACACTTGGAAACCATGGTATCTTTTTGCTATGGACAGTTGTCTGGTGTGGTACTTGGCAGTGCTACAACCATGTTGCAGGCTTGAGAGAGTCTAAGCCAACATTCTAAAAAATGGTGGCCTGAAAGATTAGAAGAATGTAGATTTTAGACAATCCAATGACTAAATTAACCTGTTTAAGCTCAGAATTACTTTTTATATGAATCTTATCATGTCAGCCACTTTGAATTAAGTTTTAGATTCTCTGATACTGAAATCCCCCTACCTCTTATTTACTTTTGTTACTTTCTCATACCAAGGCTGAGTCTTAGAATGTCTAAGGTTGTTTATAGCATTTGCTTTGGATATTTGTAAGCTGTCTCTCTCTCTCTCTGTCTTTTTCTGTGTGTGTGTGTGTGTGTGTGTGTGTGTGTGCGCCTGTGTGTATGTTTATGAAGACCCTAAAGCAAGTTACTAACAAATGCTTTAGTCTTACCTAATCATTTGTCTTCTTTTAAATATTATTCCTTTTTATACACACTATTGTATATGAAAAAGTAGGAGAGTCTTCAAAGAGTTAGATTTGAATAGGTAGAATAAGAGGGAGATAGACTGGGAAAAAACAAAGGATTGTTTTCTCAATAGCCCACATTTAGAGAACACCTAAACAACTGGCTCTTATAACATGGTACAGACTCCACTGCTAATTACTGGAAGCTATGCTAATTATAGCCCTAACCAGTGTGATATGGTGATTTATAAATATATATATTTGGTTATTCAGATGACCAAATATAGATAATATAGGTGACTAAATATATGTGAGAATATATATATTTCTTATATATATTTGGTCTTCTTCCACTGTTCCTGGCTCACAGTTCCCCAAACCTTGGAATTTCCTAAGTGCTAAAAGTCCTAAAGATGCCTTTTGTTATGTTAATAAGGTGATTCCCAAAAGCACTTAAGGACCGGGCTTGGTGGCCAGTGGAGCCAATTATGTGATTAGAGGGTTGGAACTTTCAGTCCCACCCCTTTATCCTCCAAGGAGAGGGGAGGGGCTGGCGACTGAGTTCAATCACCAGTGGTCAATGATATAATCAATCATGCCTTGTAATAAAGCCTCCATAGAAGTCCAAAGGATGGGTTTGGAAAGTTTCTGGGTTGGTGCACACACGGGGCTGCTGGGAGTGTGGTGTGCCTGGAGTGGGCATAGAAGCTCCGTGTCCCTTCCCACATATCTTGCCCTACTCATCTCTTCCATTTGGCTGTTCCTGAGTTATATCCTACAATAAACCGTTGCTCTGGTAAGCAAAATGTTTCTGTGAGTTCTGTGCACCACTCTAGGAAATTATTAGAACCTGAGGAGAGGGTCATGAGAATCTCTGGTTCACAGCCAGTTGGTCAAAAATATAGGTAACAGCCTGACTTGAAGCTGGCTCAGAAATTTAAAGAGGAGGTCCTTAGAACCTCCAGTCTACAGCTCAGACAGAAGCAAAAGCGATAGTCTGGACTCGTGAGTGGCATGAAGAGGAGGGGCAGCAATCTTGTAGGACTGAACCTTTAACCTGTGGAATCTCCAGGTGGATAGTGCCAGAATTGAGTTCAATTATAAGACACCCAGCTGGTCAAGAGAATTGCTTGTTGGTATGGGACTTGCCCACACCAACACATTCACACTGGAATTGGGTCCTTGAACCCAAAATAACTAGTTACTACAGATTTAGTGTTGCATTTTCAAACTGATTACCTAATGGGAACTATCATAAGTCATAGCACTTGTAAGTACTTCCATAAAGCTTTTGGTCACATGTTTGTAGAACTGGCATTGCTGTGCATGTATTTGTCAAAGATTCTCCTCAATTACCTTTCCTGTCACTAGACTAAGAAAGTATCAAGAAAAACAAAATAAAGAATACATAGTTGTGTCCCTATGTGCTCATCCCTTACCTCGTCCAGTTATAGACCCATGTAAAAGTGGTCCTGGCTCTGATGATTTTGGAATTCTCTTCTAGGTGCCATCATATTTGAGGCTAACTTTAGCAAATTTTGGAGCCAGATTTTATTTCTTAGTTTTCCTTTTCCCTCCCTGGCTTTAGACAGAGTTCTGCTTTTGGTTTTTAGTCATTGTTTCTATTTCCCCTCCATACCACCAGAGACCTTTCAAACAGCTTTGGAAATATTCAACTCTTTTCCCATGTTGGTTCCTCAAACACCAGCCTACCCTCAGTTTTTGGGCTCTAGACAAAGTTCAGATCAAACATCTGCCCATAGGTAACATCTTTAGCAATCATCCAAAAACACAGCTTCTAATTTTAAAACTGTATGAGGCAGAGTGCAACCCTTTGCATTTTATTTTCCAGATTTTTTTGATACATTATCTTTAGGACTATCCTAATTTTGGATCATGATAGTCATCAAGTAAGGACAGAAACTATGATATGTGTTTGAATAGCTTTTACACTATTGTAGAAAACTTTTCCTGTACGATTTGATTCTTTCAGCAAACTAAGTAATTATTATCCTCATCCTTCAGAAGAACCTGTGGCTCAGAAAGCTTCACTGTCTGGCCAAGTCTCCATAAATGGTTAGAGAAACGGGGCGAGAAACCACATGTTTTACCTCCAAACATCATGGTTTTTATTAACACCTCACTTCTTAAATTCATTTTATGCTAAAAAAAAAAAAACTTATTTCAATTATCAGATAACCTATTTGAGGGACTGAAAATACCATACATGAAGGGAATAGTGTGTACTTTAACACAACTGGACTTTGGGCACAATATAGGCATATTTTTTTCAAAGGTCAAATTTGACTACCCAATGGCCAAGTAGAACAGAGCTCCCTCCAGGCCTCTTGCTAACATGGAAACAGACTGCCATTCCTCTGACTGGAGTTTACCTCAACAGCAATTCACAAAAATCTGAAAGTCAGAGAGGCATTGCTAAGAGTAACTGTCAATCAGTGTTAAAGTATGGGAGACCGTGTGATATCAGAAGACAGGATGAGGTGGTAGACTTTCCAACAACTCTAAAGTGTTCCAAAGACAGCCAAAGGAAGTCCCAAGGCAATCTTTCAGGTTAGATTGCTCAGGGGAGAATTCTAGATGAAGACAGAGGAGAAGTCCTTAAGGATTTTCACTTGAGGGGGGAGTAAGGCCA